ACACCTTGTTTAAGTAATGATGAGCCATCCCCCACAGCAATGATTGTCACCTCTACTCACCAACACCCACCTGCAGCTAATCCCAAGCGTTCTCAATCCCCCTCTAAACCAATTCTGCTGGAATTCAATAACCATGCTCCATCTAACCCTACTGAGCACCTTATGGACTTCTCAGCCACTGCTTCTCCAAAGATTCCCAGCGCTGCCACCACAACCAATGCCAAGAAACAAAGGAAGAAATGGACAAGGAAACAAGTTAAAACATGTTAACTCCAGTCCATCAACTCCCATCTCACCAGAATCCAACGAGCCCCCAACCTATGGGAAGAGAGGCAGACAGCTTGAGAATGAAGCACTCGATATTTTTGATTCCTCAGATACTAATGCCATCCTATTGAAAAAGCAAAAGACCGTTTTACAGGTGGAGGAAGCCAGCCTCAAATGGCCCCAAGGTGACCAATGATAGCCATGGTGTGGAACTGTAGAGGTCTGGGTGGACCCTCTACAGTTCCCCGGCTCAAGGAATCTTGGAGATTCCACCACCCAAATTTTGCCTTAATTTGTGAAACTAGAAAACCCAAAAAAATATATTTATACTGTCTGCAGGAACTTAGGAGTGGAGGACAGATGGTTTGCCTCTGATCCTATTCATCAAAGTGGAGGGCTTCTTGTCTTTTGGAATCCAGAAGTTAACATTCATCAGCTCATATGTCAACCCTTTTGCATGGAAATTGAATACAGCTTACAAGGGAATCCAACCAAAGCATGGTTCATTTTTGTTTATCTCAACCCATGTAGAAGAACCATAGCTCAGCAGTGGTTATATCTTTCTCAAGCTAAAGCCAACTGGGGACACTCATGGGTAATAGCAGGTGACTGGAATGACATCCTATACCCAGAAGAGAAGAATGGAGGAAGGTCGAGGCCTGAAAGCAGCCTCTGGGGCTTCAGAACTTGTATTGCTGATTTGGCCGGCCATGAAATTCATATGGAGGGTTATCCCTTCACATGGTGCAACAACAGACTTGCAGAGGGATTTATAGAGGAAAAGCTAGATAGGATGATTGCCTCCTTACCCTGGCATTCTAACCATCCTCAGGTCAGAGTCATAAACATCTTCAGAAGTGCTTCTGATCACATCCTTTTGCTACTCCAACCGGGCCACTCTCAAGCTAAAAAGAAGAAACAATTCTGCTTTGACAAAAGGTGGCTAAAGAAACCTGGAATAAAGGAAGAAATTCAGAAAGCTTGGGATCAGCCAGTGGCAGGCTCAGCCATGTACAAACTCACTGAGAAGATCAAAACCACAAGAGTGGCTCTATTGAAATGGAGCAGGACTTTTCAAACAAACTCTGCTAAATTAATTGCTAAGCTTACAACCGAAATGGCAGGGTTAAGGGAACGAGGAGGCAACAGAAGCTGGGATAAATGGGCTCAACTCAAGAATCAGCTGGATGAAGCATACAGCTGTGAGGAAGCCTTTTGGAAGCAGAAATCCAGATCAATATGGCTCAAGGAAGGGGAGAAGAACACTAAATTTTTCCATGCCTATACCATTCAAAGAAGGAAAGTCAATTCTATCACCAGATTGCTTAAAGCTGATCTTACAATTTGTGATACCCAAGAGTCCATAGCTGCATGCCTCATTGATTACTATCAACAACTGTTCACCTCCGAAGGCTCAAATGATGTTGGCAATCTCCTCAGCCACATCCCTCATTCTATTGCTGCTGATCACAATGAGCCCCTAATAGCCCCAGTCACTGAGGAGGAAATAAAAACTGCCCTATTCAATATGCACCCAGATAAAGCTCCTGGCTGGGATGGTATGACTCCCTCTTTTTTTCAATCCTTCTGGGGTATTATTAAAAGTGATCTTTGTACAGCTGTTATGTCTTTCTTCAGCTCTAATCATATGCTTAGAAACTGGAACTTAACCCTTCTCACTCTCATCCATAAATGCCACTCACCACTTTCAGTTGGAGACTACAGGCCAATAAGTCTCTGTGAGGTTATTTACAAAGTTATTTCAAAAATCCAGGCAGACAGACTTAAACCTTGCCTTCCCTTGTGTATTAGCAACACCCAATCAGCATTTATACCTGATAGGCAACTTATGGATAATGTCATAATTGCACAAGAGGCCTTCCATTTTCTAAACAGGCATAGGTCTGGCCCTCACAAATACATGGCTTTGAAACTAGACATGTCAAAAGCCTTTGATAGAATTGAATGGGCATGCATCATAAGAATTATGGAAAGAATGGGCTTTAACTTGATTTTTATAAAGTGGGTGATGGCTTGTATTCAAACTGCCCCCTTCTCTTTCTAACTCAATGGGCAGCCTACTGGTTTTGTCACACCAACTAGAGGAATAAGGCAAGGGATTCCATATCCCCCTACCTTTTCCTCTTAGTTTCAGAATGCCTCTCTTGTTCAATCCAGCACAATATCAGTCATGGTTCTCTCAGAGGGCTGAAGCTGTCTAGACAAGGGCCCACTCTCAGTCACTTGTTCTTTGCCGATGATTCCCTCCTATTCTGCAAAGCATCCATGGAATCTGCAAATCTTATTTTGGCCATCCTTGAGGATTACAAATGCTTCACAGGACAACAAGTCAATTGGAGGAAGTCCACTGTGTTTTTTAGCAAGAACACCTCTTCTACTGCCTAGAGAAACATCTGCCAAGCCCTTCAAGGTATAACTCTGCACACCTCATCCAGATACTTAGGGTTACCACTTGGCATAGGGAGATCAAAGAGTGAAGCTTTCAAATATGTTACTGATAAAGTCAAGAGCAGGCTATTGAGGTGGAAGAACAGGTTTCTATCAGGAGCTGGTAAAGAAGTGCTTGTAAAGTCTGTCCTAAGTGCTCTACCAACCTTCTCAATGTCCTGCTTCTTATTACCTCTGGGATCATGCAAAGACCTTGCCAAACTCTCTGCTCACTTTTGGTGGTCTTCTCAGAACCAAGCCAAAGCTGGCATTCACTGGAAGTCTTGGTTCTTACTAACTATGCCTAAAGCTGAAGGAGGACTCAACTTTCATGACCTTCATGTCTTCAATTAGGCCCTCATCTTAAAGCAAATATGGAGACTGCTCACTAAACCTGACCTTCTGATGAGTAAAGTCCTGAGGAGAAAATACTTTCCATCTGGTGACTTCTTTGGAGCCACGCCTAATCATAACTCCTCTTGGCTCTGGAGGAACTGGCTCAAACTGAAAACAACATTTCTGAGAGGCTTCTTCATGCAGGTCAATGATGGTAAACTTACTAAGATTTTTTATCATCCTTGGGTTCCCAGTCTCACTGGCCAGAAGCTTTTGACTAGAACATCACTTTCTTCAGAGCTAACATGGGTGTATGAGCTTATTGCAGAGGATGGCTACACCTGGAATACAGACCTGATCAACAGTTGCTTCTCAACTTCTGAAAGTGCTGCCATCCTCATGATCAAAACATTGAACCCCCACCTCTCTGACAAACCAGCCTGGAATTTTGATGCTAAGTTTAAATTCTCTGTTGCAGCCACCTATGGCCAGCTAATAGCAGACAAAATTCTCAAAGTGGACCTGCCTGAAAATAGCTCAATGGCTGCTGACCTCAGAAGGATGAGAACAAGAAGCTGGCAGCTTAAGATTAAGGGCAAAGTGAAACACTTCATTTGGAAGTGTTACACTGGTACTCTCCCTGTTGCAGTAAACCTGAGTAAAAAAGGTCTCTCCCTTGACACAACCTGCATGATCTGTGGAGAAGGGCCTGAAACAATCACTCATGTGCTCTTTCAATGCCCAAGAGCTGCTAAGGTCTGGAAACTATCACATGTTCAGTGGGCTAGCTTTCCTTCTTCAGGGGATAATTTCAAGCTTTGGTGGACCACTATCTGCTTAATCAAAAAGGACAAAGTTGTGAATGACAGGGTACAACTCTCAACCTATATCCTTTGGCAGCTGTGGAAAACCAGGAATCTGTGGATTTTTCAGCAAATCATGACCCCAGAGCATATCATTGTGGATATGGCTTCTAAAGAATGGCTTGAATTTGATTCTGCCTTCACTCTTGTTTAATCATTCCTTTAGTTAGTTTGTTGCTTTTCTTCTAGCTAGGCCTTGGCAGTGGCTAGTAATTATTATTCAGTTTGCTAGTGTGTTGTTGGTGATAGCTCCCGCATCTGTCTGCGGCTATTGCTTTCTTATTTATAGTTTGATTTCTAAGTAGCTCATTTGTGTAGCTTTGCCTCTAATCCATTTATGGATTGTGATCCTGAGTGATCCCGTGTATGAACATCTTCCTTGAGTTTATATAATATCGTTTTTGGAAAATATATATATA